TTTTATCAAACTGATATCACAAACCGCCGTTTAATTTCGCCGTAATATGAATTAAAACAAGTTCCCCATCGACCGTTTACAAAATCCAACATTGTTTTAATCCACATCGGGCGAATTCGCGCGGGTGTCATTTTGTTTTAATCTGCCTTTGATTTAACTTTAATTTAGCCCGCGCACAGGTCGACCGTCATTTCGCTCCAATTTACCTTTGATTTAATTGCAATATCCGGCCGCGCCGTGCGCCTGACTGTCGTTTTATTTCAATTTATCTTTGATTTAATTGCGATTTCCGTCCACGCCGTTATTCTATTTTAACTCGCGAGCCGCGTGTATTTATTCAAACGCGCGTTTTTGAACCGCCGCGGAATCCTCATTTGTCACCCGCCGTAATACGCGCGTTTCCACCGTGATGCAAAGGGCGAATTTATCAAATAGAATTTTCGTGCGATTGAAAATTGGTAGGATTACGCTTAACGCAATAATGATCGGGGTGGCACGCGTAAGCGTAAATCGGATTAAAATTAAACGCAGGAAAGATTGAAACGCGATAACACAATCGGCTTCTGAGTTAACGTTAAACTATCAGGCATATTTTGTGCGTGAGTTTTAAATAAAAAAGGGACTCAATTCGCCCGCGCGCGCCCGCGCGTCAATTCCGATTCCGCGGCCAGCGCTGCAATTGCACCGCTGTTGATCGACGCGGCGATACGCGTCCGGGGTGCAATCTGCGCTAATTGGGCTTCGCGTTATTTTCGGGAGACACGCGACACACGGATACACACGAGCGCGCTTCGTCCATGGGAGAACGAAGATCTCACGAGACACATGTACGCGCCAAATGGCGTGCAATCTGCTTGTCGCGTTTGCCGATGACGGATCGAACGGCGAATTCGAATAGCGTGTGCCCGTAAATCGACACTTTTGCGTCGAGAGCCGACGTGTGCGCGTATAAGAGAAAAATCCTAGTGCGATCGAAAGTGGATGAGGAAAATTATCTTTTCTCATCGCGCGATATACCTCGATATACTCACTCGGACCTTTGACGAGGGGCGAAAATTTTCAGGGCGGCGGGAATATACAGCCTTTCGCATTTGGCCGACACTCGGATTCCATGGATAAGAAATCCAAGGGGATTCTCTCTCGTCTGCGACGAAATGATTCTTCTTCTCTCAGATAAGATATATCGTATTAAATAAAGATCGGATGAAGGCGCGATGTACTTTTGTAATCCTTCCAACGAGGGCCTTGACAATTTTTTAACCGTTTGTTAGTTGCCTTAGGCATAAGAGGAAGAAAAAAAGGAAGATAAAAAAGATAAAAGAGGAAGAATAATAAAAAAAGGAATAGAAAAGGAAATAAAATGTTCAAGGAGAAATAACGTAAGAGACGGTCCTTGGATCCGGAGTGCTACTCTCTTTACTCTCAATCGCGATTACGCGTGACCAGTTTTTATTTTCGGCATCGGCCGAAAGTCCAAACGAGGCTAACTGGGCAGTCCAAGTTAGTCCAAGTTTGCTAGGAATGAGAATACAAAAATCGTTAATTACGAAACATTTCAAAGTCGGTTGCACCGGCGCTAACTATGATTAAGTGAAATCCATTTCACTATTTATATCATAGTATCGTAATCTAAAAAGAGAACAACGTCTACCAGAGATTAATGATGAAAACGACTTTTAAACCGCGGAATGCACCGAGCAGCGTGTATCGAATTTTGCGCCGAAAATAATAAATCGTACCAAAAACGGCGGATGTGATCGCGCTGCTCGAAAGAGGAATCAATTTATTTCATACGAACACAGAGCACAAATATTCTAGTTACGGTGACCAAGTATGACCTAAAGTAAGCAGCATTTGACCTAGAGATCTATGTCGGATTTATATAGCGTATATCTCAAAATTTCTCCCCGTTTACTTACAGATATCGATATGAAGTGCAAGAGGAGCGCGAGGTTGCACGAAGGTTGATCGCATCTCAGATCGTTAATTATGTTCCGCAAGCAAAATGTGTATTGTAGGATAACGACGTTAATCACTTTACAGTTGTCCGCTGAAATTGCCACTAAGTTAGTTGGAATATATCATATTGGGACACTAATGCACGTTACTACGTACGTAATTTACATTGCAGCATCCCTATCATTTATCAGTGTCGTTATAACGATGATTATCATTTACGTTGACATTTCGCAAGATTGCATGTGGTCGAATGGAATTCTAACAATATTGAAAGGGATGAATGGATCTGACTTTAGCGTAGCGGGAAAACATGTTAATGTTGAGGTCCAATTTAATCCATAACGTAACAAAAAATGTTTACGTTAATATTAGTAGCGACACTATTGTTTCGCATTGCATTACCGTCATTTGCGATAATAAAAAGGAAAAGGTATCCGCAAACAACAAATTAATGAAAATTAATGTAGATGTACGTAAAGAAAATAGTATAATTATAATTTTAGCTACTGATACATTAATACTTTTTATGAATTATGCATTCGTAATATTTTTTTATATTAATAGTCATGGTATTCAAGAATTGTCGTTCAACAATTTACGCGAACTTATACCGTTGATCCCGAACTTAACGATAATTCAACACGAGGTATATACCAATGCTCAGCGATAAAAAAATGATGTTATCAGAGTATCGTAAGCATCCTTAAACACAGACATGAATTGACACAGTCATGTCATTCAGCTTCAAAAAGAATTCCGGATATCTCAGACTCTTTTCCGTCGGAAATGAAATGCGCTTAACAGCACGACACTTAGAGATCAATGTGTTCAAGACCTAGTTGTAGTACGTTCTAAGTACACGCCAAGTATAGCCAGCCAATCGGGTTTTCCCATCGAGTTAAAACTGAGAAAATAACGAGCTACTTTCATTGATTCCTAAGGATCTT